GCCTTCCACCTTCAGATTCACAACCAATTCATCCCTGTTGGTCAGGATCAAGTCTAAAATGGCTGTCCCTGTGGTTAGGACAGCCATTTTAGACTTGATCCTGACCAACAGGGATGAATTGGCTGTGAATCTGAAGGTGTAAGGCAATTTGGGTGGAAAGTGATCATGATTCTAAGGAAAGGAAGGAGTGAGCAGCAGAATAAGAACTGGGGACTTGGAAAAAAAGCAGACTTTAACAAACTAGAGAACTGGTAGTAAAGTCCCATGGAAAGAAAATCTAAGGGATAAAGGAGGTCAGGAGACCTGGCAATTTCTCAAGAAGACAATATTAAAGGCAGAACTGCAAATTATCCCAATGTAAAGGGAAGATAGGAAGAATAGTAAAAGGCCAATATAGCTCCATCAGTAGCTCTTTAATTACACCTCTACCCCGATATAATGCGACCCAATATAACATGAATTTGGATATAACGCGGTAAAGCAGTGCTCCGGGGGGGCGGGGCTGCACGCTCCGGCGGATCAAAGCAAGTTCAATATAACGTGGTTTCACCTATAATGCGGTAAGATTTTTTGCTCCCGAGGACAGCGTTATATTGGGGTAGAGGTGTACCTGAAAATCAAAAAGAATCCTATAAAGTGAAAACATGGACCAGTTGTAAAGAGGAGTACAAAAAATAGCACAACCATGCAGACACAAAATCAGAATAGCTGAAGTACAAAATAAACTACACCTAGCAAGGGACATAAAAAGGCAATAAGAAGAGATTCCTTAAATACATTTGGAGCAAAAGGAAAGAAAGTGTAAGGTCCTCTACTTAGAGCAGGGGTCTCAAACTCAATTTACCTTAGAGTCAGTGGCAGTCCTCAAATCCTCCCAGCAGGCCAATAATGTCACTGAAGATGGTGTTCAGTAAAGAAACCGTTTATATTATATTTTTTATTTTCAATTTCTTAGAAATAATAAAACTGTCATACAACTTTATACAAGTCTTCACCTGCCAGAGAGTTTTTAGTGTTTGCCAGACACCTGACAATGCTTCAGCTCTGTCAGTTTGTTGATGTTTGGCCTCAGTGACTGAGCAGTTGAAACCTTCAGGATTGCAGCAAGGTGTGCATCAGATAGTTGTGTTCGGTATTTTGACTTGTTTATATTCATTGTGGAAAAAAGTGATGCTGCCTCCATGGTTGACCAGCAACTAGTGATGGTATCTCTGTCCCTCTCCTCCAGCCAATGGGAGCTGCGGGGGGTGGTGCCTGCAGCAGACATTGCCGGCAACGTGTCTGCATGCATCTCTTTTCCGCGGGCTGCAGTGGGGTGGTTCTTGGGCTGCAGAGGCCCAAAGGCCGGGACTTTGGAGAGACCCCTGACTTAGAGGGTAAAGGGAGCTAATAACTGATGACATCAAGAAAGCTGAGGCGTTTAATGTCTATTTTGCTTCAGTTCACTAAAAAAGATTAGTGATGACCAGATACTCAACACAATATTAACAAGGGGGAGAAGGAATACAAGCCAAAATATGGAAAGAACAGGTTAAAGAATATTTAGATAAATTAGATGTATTCAAGTTGGGCAGGGCCTGGTGAAATTTATGCGTGGGTACTTAAAGAACTAGCTGAAGCAATCTCAGAACCATTAGCAATTATCTTTTAGAACTTGTGGAGGATGGGTGAGTTGTCAGAGGACTGGAGAAGGGCAAACATAGTACTTACGTTTAAAAAAAGGGTACAAAGTGTGGATTGGAGGAATTATAGATCAGTCAGCCTAACTGCAATACCTGGAAAGATACTGGAACAAATTAATAAACAATCAGTTTGTAAGGATCTAGAAGACGACAGGGTTATAAGGAATAGACAACATGGATTTGTCAAGAATAAATAATCCAAAATCAACCTAATTTTCTTCTTTGACACGGTTACTGATCTAGTGGATGAGGGCGGGGGTAGGGAAGCAATAGAAGTGATATATACTAATTTTTCAGTGTTTGGCCCCAGGCCTTACTTTACTGCACTCTAATCAAACCCTACTCTGAATACAGAATTAATTTTACCATGGCTTTTTCTGTGGCAGTCATCATACAGTGTCTGTGTTTCACAAACATTAATTAATGTGAGGTGAGAGGATGTTATCCCAATTTTTATTAATGGGAAGCTGAGGCAGAGAGATTATTAATTATTTGTATTACTGTAGCATTTAAGAGCCCTAATCATGGAACAGGACTCCATTGTGCTAGGTACTTTACAAACAGAGCAAAGACATAATCCCTGTCCCAAAGAGTTTACAGTCTAAAGTCAAAAGTGTCCACTAATTTTGGGTGCCCAATCTGAGAGACCTAGGACCTGAGTTTCTCAGAATGCTTAGCATTTTATAGCACTTTACATATTCAAAGAAAATCTGCCTATGATTTTGATTGCTCAGCAAGTTCTATCTTTCCACTCTGAAATAAGCTAATGGTATACATATAAAGTGATGGCACTTTCTGGGCCTGTTAAGTCTTTCAACTTTCACCCCCTTCTAATTTCTTTATAAGAAGGTTTTATGTGTTCCTTTGGGTGGAAGGGTGAATGCACTAAAGCCACTTCATATTTACAGTTGTTCCTCCAGTTGAAGAATGATTTAACTCGTACACAAAACCACCATTGATTTTACATTGGTTTAATTAGATAGTAACAGTTTTTGATAACTTTGTTAGGCTCTTTCAATTATATGCCTAGTATTTGGATATTGCTTTCTCTATTATTTAGAGGATTTTGTAAGTACACAAAGATATCAGAATATCTTCCTGTAAAAAAAAAAAATACAGCTGTCCTTATATCACTATTATCCCTAAACAAGGAAAAAAGCATATATAACCATATATAGACCTATGGCATTTAACATGTCACTATACTAACTCGCGTTGCTATGTTTGGTTTTCCAGAAAAAGCCCACTCACACGGATACAAGACTACTAACCCTCACCATATATTTACTTAGTAAGTTCACTGCAATGTAAATACAAAAACCTCACAACACAAACTGTAATCTGTCTCATAACGGTTCTTGCCATGAAAATTCTTTCCCACTACACAGAGAGCTTTCAGAATTAAACATTGCTTCCACTCTATTGTTTAGTCTATCAAATAAAAGATGCTGGATTGACAGGCCTGCTAATTTAAATCTTCTATTTATCCTCAAAACAGAAAAAGGATGACCAGCAGCAAGGTATTCTGATTCATGCAACTCATGTAAAATACCTCATCTCTGATCTGGAAGGCAATTTGCTCTACATCAGGGGTTCCCAAACTTGATTTGCAGCTTGTTCCGGGTAAGCCCGTGGCAGGTTGTGAGACACTTTGTTTACCTGGTGTCCACAGGTACAGCCACTTGCAGCTCCCAGTGGCCGTGGTTCGCCATTCGCGGCCAATGGAAGCTGCGGAA